TAACTCCAGTTCCAGGGGAATCCAAAGCCTTCTTCTGACCTCCACGGCATTGCACAACACAGGTGCACTCACATACATGAAGGCAATACACTCGTACACATAAAATAAAAATAATACATAAAATATTTTTAAAAATACAGAGTAACAAGCTGGTTGTGGTGGTAAAGGCCTTTAAACCCAGCATTCTGGTGGCAGAGGAAAGCCAATTTCTGAGAGCTCAAAGTTAGCCTGGTCTACATAGCAAATTTCAGGCCAGCCAGGGCTACAACAGTAAGACCCTGTTTTGTTTTGTTTTGTTTTTTCAAAAAGAAAAGGCCAAATTAAAAAGGAAACATCTTATATAAATTTCCCCCTAATTCTCTGAATCTCCTTATTAACCCCAGTTCATAGGTAAGGATGCTGACTGAGAGAGGATGTGGTTGCACACCAAGTGAGTGGCAGATTCAGAAATCCTACCCAGGTCCATCTGATCTTATGAGCTATTGTTTAATCTATGTTGTTTTATATGGAAGACATAAATGCTGGCACTAAGTAATAATACATTCCTCCTGCTACTCAACACCCCATCTCTCACCCATGACAAGGTATGAGCCAGAAACATGACACCACCAGTTGGGGCAAATGCTCAAATATTTAGAATAGGTTTTGAGGGGCTGGAGAGATGGCTCAGCGGTTAAGAGCACTGGCTGTTCTTTGCAAAAAACAAGGGCTGGAATCCCAGCATCCACATGGCAGCTATCAACCATCCATAACTCCAGTTCTAGGGGGATCTCATGCCCTCTTCTGTCTCCACTGGCACTGCACAACACGGGTGCACTAACACACATGCAGGTAATACACTCACACATACAATAAAATAAAATAATTAAAATAAAATAGGTTTTGGAAGCCAATGATGTGGTAACAGAGAACTAGACAGTTCATGGGAAAGGAATAAGCTGGTCTATGAAGACATTTAATAAAAACATGCTTTTGCCAAATAATGTGTTTACATGTTTTTTGTTTTTGAGACAGGGTCTTACTATGTAGCCCTGGCTGGCCTGCAACTCATTGCATAGACCAAGTTGGCCACCAGCTCACAGAGATCTGCCTACTTGTTTCCTGAGTGCTAGGATTAAAGGCATGCACTACCACGCCCAGCCTAACAGGTTCTGAGTATACTTTTTCAATCCTAAAAATCCTATAAGAATCCTAAAATCCAGGGGTGCGTGGTGTCACACACCTTTAGTCCCAGCACTCCGAAGGCAGAGGCAGGCAGATCTCTGTGAGTTCAAGGCCAGCCTGGTCTACATAGTAAGTTCCAGGCAAGATGGGCTACAGGGAGACCCTGTCTCAAAAAGATAACAAAAAGAGAATCCTAAGATCCTTAAGGAATCTCTTAAGAAACAAGAAGCACCAGGGAGATAGATCGGGGGTAAAAGCATTTGCTGCCCTACCCTGTGAACCTAAACTCAATCCCTCCCTGAAACCCATGTGAAAAAGCTGGATGCTATTTAGTGGCATCACAGCCCCAGCACTCCTACCGCAATATGGTAGGCCCCCTCCCCCACACAAATATATACATAAAAATGAAAAAAACTTAAATAAAAAATGAAACCAGACTGCAATAATTATGGTATTTGGATACTCCAACCTTCATTGTCCTTTTTTAAAAATATAAACCTCCCCACTCTTTGTACCTGGGACTGACTGCCCAAATGAAGGCTATTTCCTAGACTATGGCAGGAAGTGATGTCAGCACTAAGTGCTGGGCAATGAGATGTAATCAGTGATGGCTCAGCAGTTAAGAACACTGGTTGTTCTTGCAGAAGACCCAGGTTCAAATCCAAGCACCCACATGGCAGCTAACAACTGTCTGTAACTCCAGTCCCAGGGGATTGACAGCCTCTTCTGACCTCCACGGGCACTGTACTACACGGGTGCACTTACCGACATGCAGGCAATACATGTATACACATAAAATAAAAATAATAAATAAAATATTTAAAAAAATAAGTGCAGGAAAGCTCCCAGGAAGCCTCTTAAAGACTGGGAGCCCATGCCTTTCCCCTCTCGCTCCATTCTTTCTTTGTTTTCTGCCACTTAGAACTTCATCTTGGACCATGAAGTTGGAAGCCTCACATTATGTATCATAGATTCAATAAATGGAACCAGTCTTGTTCTTAGAAGACTACAGAATCATTATGCTTTTGTCTTGTCCATCTATGAACCTTTTAAAGGGGTGCAGAGGATCTTACCATGTAGCTCAGGCAGGATTAGAATTCAGTATGTAGGTAGCCCAGGCTGGCCTGGAATTTGCAGCAATCCTCCTGTGCTAGTGTCCCAAATATTGGGATTACAAGCATGTCCCACCACGCCCAGCTAGTAACTCTTCCACTTTAAACGTGAAAGAGAAACTGTTTAAGCCATTGTTTTGTGATCTCTTACTAGGAGCTAATCTTAACTAATCCAGCAACCAACTCATTCAACGTGATGACAAAGTTCAGGTGCAAGTCCATCGCATGCAAAGTTCACGTTCTTAGGCAAAAGTCTGAAGAATTCTTTCTTGTAATTTCTAATAGGTTTTGGGGGGGATTTGATAAGAGAAAATAAGGAAGGTTTGGTGCTCTCAGTTCTACAGACCTAGAAGGAATCCAAAGGATTACGCTACATAACAGTCAAGAATCCCATCTCTTTGAGCGATGGACAAATTAAAATCTGTTACTTGCATGGGGCTGGAAACAAAAACAGAAGCAGTGCGTGGGCAGCTTCTGTGAAAGATGCTGTTAGTTGAAGGGTGGGCACTGCAGAAGGGGGTTACGGAAATGCCTAGGGGACAGACAAGAAAGAATTCAAATACTCAGAATTCAAAGCAGGAGATGGAGTCCAAATACACACAGCCAAGAAAAGGGACAAGGAGAATCATGTGACCCATATCAAAGACAGCATGAAGGTCAAAAAGGCATAAAGAAAAGGTCAAGGTTGAAGTTCTGACAACTTATTCTGTTCCCTTCACTCTGTTCACAATAGCACTGAAGGAGTAAATTTAAATTGTATTGCAACTGAGTAGAATTCAAAAGGAAGGGAAATCACAGAACAAGGAGTTTATTATCACCCCTTTGTTCAATTTCTAAATGAATAGTAATGATAAGAACTTGGGAGATTCAGTGGAGTTAGGCCTGATTTTATTTAACATCAATCTTAACGAACCAGAAAAAGAAAAAAAAACAATCTGCTAAAGGTATTCTTTTCTAGAAAAAGCTAAATAACAATGAAAATGTGTGAGAAGTTTGGAAAACAGTTGAAAAATAAACACGGGTAACAGCAAAAAAAGGCGGCGAACATGAAAACAGGACACAGATTAGAAGGTATTTTGTAACTGGTTCAATACATTCCACATAGCAGTTGGGCTGCCACAGTTCTTTAAGATGGTCACAGACCCAAGTTGTTTGCTGGTCTATCCAGTGCCCCGGGAATCACAGGACAGTAGTGAAGAATACATTACATTCCACCCAGTGTGGAGAACATGACAGAATTGGAACACATCCGTTTCTGATAGCATCAGTGGTGATAGAGATGCTGGGAAAATAACGAATTCTTAAGTTTTAAAATCTTTCCCCTTTCAACTTCAGAAAACAGAACAAAATGACAAAATTTCACATCATTAAGGGTAAATGCCACAGAGTAGTCTAAGAAGCTTTAGGTCATCCGGTGTCCTTTACAAATATTATTGTTTTAAAGCTCTGTTCATTTTAACTCAGGGTGCTGTTCTCATTCTGAGGATTCTGAAAATTCAAACAGCAGTGGGAAACAGTGGTGGGAATGGAGAGGGGCTTCAAAAACAAATCTTCACGTGTCAAATGAAATCACAGTGTGAAAATGTATATTTAAGATTGTACATGTTGGAACAACATTTTGACTGGAGAAAAACAGAACAGTAAACTTAATTCTAACATGAAGATTAAAAAAAATAATTTTTTTTTTGAAACTGGGTTTAAGAAAAGTGTGATGACTCAGTGTGTGCTCATCGACTACTCTGCTTCATTCCCTGAACCAAGAGCCCACTTTGCAGCTCACAGCAGTATCAGACATGTTAGGGCCGTAAGGTCTTAAATCACACAGGCCCAATTACCTGGGGGATTAACAGTCATTTTATATTCTCTTCAAGAGTAGATCCACCAACAGAAAAGCCAGGGGCAAAAGAATGTGACCTCGGCACCCAAAATGCAGAAACTAACGGGTTCTTAGGAAGTGTAACCTGTGCCAGGATACTGGGACTGCAGTTTTCCATACTGGAACTGTTAATTATATATACTTCCGCCTTAAACTTGGGTATAGAACTCAGAAGTTGAGTAAAGACACATGCTGATATTATTATTATTATTATTATTATTATTATTATTACTATTACCTTGCAGCAGTAGTGGCATGGCCTTGCCTATCCTAAACACTTCCAAGCTATACTCCCAACTCCTAATTTCTTCTTCATGTATACTGAACAAATTACCTAAATTGGTTACAGATTTACAATTTTTAAATTTTTCACTCTGATCTTTTTACAGTTTTTTTTCTGTTCAGTTTTTAGGCACCGTAAATGTGTTTAAGGGAATTCACATATTGTTGTTTGACTTTTAAATTTAGGTTTGTTCTTTGCTAGGTAGGGGCAAGGGGCCCCAAAGGTAGTTTCTTTGACGGCACAGAAAGGTCTTCCACAACTGTCATTTGACTACAGGCAACCTTTGGACTTTGGGGAGTCAGTCGAGGACACGGATTAATGAGCCCGTGAGCGTCTTCTCTTCTGACCTGTCAGCACCTGCAGCCCAGGAGAAGGAAACAACACAGCCGGCTCCAAATGGAATCAGTTGACCCCCACTTCTTCCTCAAACTAAGGCAAGCTAAAAAATCATCACATTTGCAGGCCAGTAAGCACCCAAGAGCACAACATGTCAACAGGCAGGGCCAGGGACAGGGGGCAAACACCAGCGACTCTACGTGGATCCCCTCAAGCGAGTTCCACTCACCTGCAGGGAGACCTCAGGTGGATGGGGGATCCCCTTTCCCCGCAGCCCCCACGAGACGCACAGGTGCATGCTCAGCCGCGGGGACACCGCGGAGGGGGCCGCTTGGGCGCGGCTGCCCACTCCTCTCGCTCCCAACGCCCCCAGCATCCAGGAGAGGTGCTCGGGTTGGACCGCTCCGTCTTTCCGCCGGAGGAGTGGGAGCCGCTCCGCCGCCTCGTCCCTGCGCCACCAGCCCGCAGCTGGATTCCCAGGTGAGGCGCGTCCAGGTAACCGCACCTGCTCGGCCGCCCCCACCTGCTGCTGCGTGCCCTTCCCTTCCTCCGCGGTGGCTGCCGCCCGGCTGGGCTCAGCACGTGCTCGGTGGCGGGCCGACCTACCTGCGCGCTCGGAGCCCGGGAGCCCGCGCTGCCCGCTCCGGGCGCGCCGGAGTGGCTGCCCGCGCT